AAAAAAAAAAATCAAGTTCAAGTTTACGCCGTTTGCTCGAAACACGAATTAAGCCAGCAATCATGTCAAATTTCGTTCACGCTTTCGTATTTACCCTCTGCATAAACAGTTATTTTTCATGAGCAAATACAACACAAACACCACATAACGACGCATGGATAAGTATACAGTGCCCGTAAAACTACAGCAAAATGGTCAGTAATGAGTATAACGCAAAAGATCTGTACATCACACTCCGGTCTGATGCAGTTTCCTGCTGTAGTCTCGGGCCGCGTGGTTTGAATGGAGGCCGCACGGTCGGGCTTCCGATCCTTCCCTACATCAACCTGCATGATCAACCAGATCTGGCGCTCCGCTCAGCACTTACGGCGCGCATCAAGAGCAGTGAGCAGAGAAATCGGTGATGGGAAAGCTGCTCACCAGAAAAGTCAAATAACCACCTTCAGAGCCGTGCACACATCATGATGGCGGAGTTACACTGCTAGCTAACAATGCACAGCAGCTGGGCCTCGCTCAGACATCTCCATTCACGGGACGAAATGTCTCTCTACTACACCCCAGCACGGATCGCGGCGGAGAAAGTTTTAAACAACGCCTGCGCCCGTAAATTGAAATCATTCAGGGAGGAAACAGAGTCCTGAAAGCCACGGCGAGCACGCGTCTGACACAATAAGGCTACACGCAGAGGAAACATGGCCACCGCCAGTCAGCACTAGTGAGGCTCAGGCTCAGTCGCAACACACACGCCCGACCTCTGGGTAATAGCCGCTCACACACCGGACACTCAGCCGGGGCCCTAAGACGCCGTGAAGCCGCCGGCCTCGCAATTAAAATGCAACACCGCGGCAAGCGCAAACAAGCGGAAAATGGCGGTGTCGTGGAGACCGCCATTCCTTACCAGAGGTTTCGTCCGCTCCGTCATGGTTCGAGTTCTGCTCCTTTCTGCTCACTTTCGCCGTTGAGGCCGACATGATTTTTTTTGCAGGCCGTGGATAAGTACGTTCAGAGAATGTCCTTTTTGATGGATCTCCGCGAGGAAGAGAAAACTTGTTTCTGCCTCAGCCGGAGAAGTGCGAGTGTAAAGCGTGTGTTTGCGCTTCTTCTTCGCACTGTTTAAAAAAAAAACCCCGAGGGCTCAGCACACACTCGGACTCAACGCCGCCGCCAGAGCCTCAGCCACAGCGCTCGAGCTCACTCACTCACGCGCTTCCCCGATCCCGGCGCACGCGCGTCTCCAATGGAGATCGAATAAAGAGCTCCTCCCGCCGAGAGGACGATTTACAAACCGCGGCTCGCTCCCGTTATTCGCCTCCAATTGGCAGGCCCCAAATAACGGGGCGTTACGGACAGACTCGGAAAGGGGGATGGGCTTTCAAGAGGAAAAAACAACTGGCTGACGTCAAGGTAGGGGACGAAAGCAATTTGACTTATTTTTCAGAGAAAACACGCGCACTCTTTCGCGATTGGCCTGGATGTGTTAAAGTATCTGCGTAGCCAATGAGAGTGGAGTGCTCTCAAAGAAACAAAACGCAAGAGCGGGGAGGGTTTGGCCTTGCGCGCGGCACTGTTCCGCGCACGTTCATGGTGCGCGTGCGGATCAGTTTTAGGTTCCAGAAAGGGGACGTTGAATGTCAACTGCTCATTCATTTTTTCCATATAAAATTTTAGTGTCCTCATCACCGTTTCTCTTTGAGTGTTGGATAGTTAGTATACCCGTGCTATAATGCAGAGTATGACTAACTATAATTAGATTATACGCTTGTTTTTATTTTTTGAAGTAAAACTGCGTTGAACTGAACACATTTAAAGGGAGGCGAAGTATTATTAAGACTATTCATTTTAATTGATCAGTGTGATTTTATATAATAATTAGTTTAAATTTAACCAACATAATTAAATATTGACATGTAAGATCTTGTTTTACCCAATTAAATTTAGGTGAGGCTCTAGTAAGTTTGACTTTTAGCCTGGGTGGACCACTTTTGCCTATTAAACAACGACAAAGAATATTTTGTCAGCAGTTATGTGTTGTAGTTTTTGATCAATGCAATTATAAAGGAAACACACACGTGTCTCATATTCTTATAGTAAATGTTGACTGAAATTGCGGGGCCATGTTATACTCATATAAACCTATACTGAATAAAAATGTAAGTTGGATATTCCTTTGTTATGCAGCTAATATCCTGCTGTACATTGGCAGATGAGAATGCAGAGGTTTGTTTTTATTTATTACTGCACAAGATCATCCCTTTTTGGCTTAATACTGTGCATGTTTTCTATCTACATAATTTCTCCTGAATAAAAATAATTATCACAGCACTATTTGCTTAAGTTAAATGATAATATTTGATGATAGATATCAAAATAACTCTCATAATGGAAAACAGCTGTTAACGTTTAAATAGTTGTCCTGGTCTATTTTTTTAAAGAGAGTAGTAACACTGTTACTGATTCTTGATTACGTTGCATATTAATCCGCATCGCTGTTTTGTGAAATGGATTACACTTCAGTTTAAAAGTACCTTTAAATATGTACAGCGTTGCTGTCAAAAACTGGTATCACATTCTAATCATTTCACTACTCATAATACGTATGTTGAGTGTATGCCCTGCGATGGTTTGGCGCCCAACCTGGGTTATTCTCTGCTTTGCGCCAGTAGCTTTGGATGGGCTTCATACCCTGCGCAAGACAAGCGGGTATAGAAAATGGATGGATGGAAGTGTTAACATACAATGTTTTATAGCAGAGCTGTATGGGATCCCAACTCCAAACAATAGGTGGCAGTAGTGGGCTCTTACTCTGAAATTACACTGCAGACTGAACACTACGGAAGAATTGGTTTCAATATGGCGGAGGTAAGGGAGCCTTGTATTTTTCTACCGTAGGTTAATAATATTTTGAGATTATTAAAAACATACCTGGGTAAATGGGTGTTCCATAATATGTAGTTTTAAATTATTTTTTGAATGTTGGCATATAAAACAATTATCTAGGTATACTTACATGTTTATTTCTTGATAGTTTTCCCAGTGTGAAAAGGGAGTAACAAATACACTATATGAACTAACTAATCCGGCTGGGTTAAAACCAATAGCTAACTAGTTTGTCAGTAAACCATCCATCCGCCTGCTTGCTCCTGTTTAACTAATTATTTTGCCGAATTATGAACATACCGTCTAGTAAAATCATAAATCGGTTACTGTGTAATGTTACCATCGTTAGTGTTTTCTTCATTGAAGGAAAAAGCATATTTTGAGTTATTCATATATATTTTTTTTAACTCTACAAGTCGGAAGATGGTAGATTGAAGAAGTGAAAGAATCCATAGTTATGTCAGTGTACCTAGGTGATTCGCCCGGATGTTGTTCTTGTTTGTTTGTTTTTTGGTTTCATTGTTTGTGTTAATCATGTATGTTAAAATAGGCGATGTTTATAGATGCATGTAGTGAGTAATAGTACTATAAATCAGTGGTCAAGGGTGGTAGCACACTGATGGGGTAACTGATACATATACTACATAGATTTTTTTTTCCCTTCCTCCAGACTCACAGCTTGCAGGATCTGCGTCAGCAGGCGCCTGTCGCAGCCAAAGTGTTCGTCCAGCGGGACTACACCTCGGGGACCATTTGCCAGTTCCAGACAAAGTTTCCCGCTGCTCTGGAAACAAGGGTGCGTTTAATACACAAAAGCAGATGCTTCCCCATTCTTTTTTCCGTTAGCTCGTAGTCGGCAAAAGGAGTATTTGGTGTTGTCATGATACAAGTAACTGTTCGAGAATCAGAGAAAATTCCCGGCCCAGGACAAGAGCAGCACAAACAGGAGATATGAAGATATAAGATTTTTATCTGATTTGTTATTGACTTACAGTAGACCATGAAGGCATTTAATTGCCTCAATACTTATGCTTTAATGCTTATACAACTTTAAATAGCAGTACAAAAATCAGTCATAATTTTGTGAATAATTATGATATATTTACAAGCATGTGTGTAAAATCAGTTTGTCCCGCACTGACATCGGTTGACACAGTCCAGTGACTGCATCTCTGTTTCGGGATTTGCCAATTTCAGATTGACAAGCAGCAGTTTGAGGATACAATACGCAAGCTAAACAGCCTGTATGCCGAGGCGGAGAAGCTGGGGGGTCGCTCGTACCTGGAGGGCTGTCTGGCTTGTTTGACAGCCTACACCATCTTCCTGTGCATGGAGACACACTATGAGAAGGTAAGACCACTGTGCTGGACCCTGCCTTTGGATCGTCAGTATTGATGCGATGTCTGGAAAGAGTCGGAACGACCCCATGAACCTTTAGTTGCACAGGCTTCTTAATCTTATTTTCTCTTCTGTTGCCTTGTAAGGTTTTGAAGAAGATTGCCAATTATATCCAGGATCAGAATGACAAAATCTACGCTCCGAGGGGCCTGCTCCTCATTGACCCTATTGAGCGGGGGTTGAGAGTTGTATCCTTGCATCTGAAGAACAGTGGATCTGGGTGGCTGTGTGATGTGTTCAGGCGTTGTTGTTTCTCTACCTTTGGACAGACTTTCTGCTCGCTCCCAGGTTCTTCCTTAACCCCCTCACACCAGGTCGAAATCACTGTTTTTGAAGACCGCAGTACTGGACCCGGAAGATGAGACTTGGGTAAGTCCGACTGCCCGTTTTCACACCAGGGCACAATTCCCTCCACCAGTTTCAAATGTCATGCAGGTTGCTGCTGTAATTAGTACCCCACTTAATTTGGGTGTTTTAAAACGGCACCATTTTCTGATGTCTGGTGATAGATAGAGATATCCAGAAGGAAATCTGACATGTTGGATGGTTGTATTTCAGTGCTTCTCTAGAAGTTCAGGATTTCGTGTGTGTTTGAAATGTCCTATATTGTATATGTTTAGACATGTAAGCACTATATTTATGAGTGTGTGTGATTAACTCAGTAGATCCTGAATTCTCATATTGGGTTACAGTGTTGTATTGTTTTAACAATCATTTTCTGTTTGTTTTTAGTTTGTCTAAAGATGTTTCTCAAGACGGCTGGTTGGTGCCCCATTCGCTGCTGCCCAGTGTTGCCCCCTAAACCCACCATGACCACCAGGTCTCCCTTCCTTCACTCCCATTGTATTCACATTGCATTTAAAAAAAACTCCTTGTTCATTATGATTATTTATTACTACTCTGTGTGAGATGGACTGACCACATGTTCTGCTGAAGGTGATAAAGGCACACTGGCCCTTGTCTGTCATTATGATCGTTATGTTTATCCATTCTAGTTAGTATAGTTCTGTCTTGCCCCCATAGCCTCCAGCATAGGCTCTAAAACCCCCACGACCATGAATAGGCATGAATGGATAGTTTATATAGTTAATTCTCCCCAGATCACGGATTATCTATAACCTTGTGTATTGAACTTTGCCACTTGTTATTATGTTTGATGTACATGATTCTGAAAAGAATGAAGCATTCTGAGGGTTTTTTTGTACTTGGGTGCATTTGCTTGGTCAGCTGTGATTCTTCATCTAACTCCTGTCAACAAGCAGAAAAATGAAGTCTTATCAACCAAGGAGGATTGGTTCTCTATCGCTCCCATGAACTATTGTGGTCGCTAACGAGGGATGGTATCTGATTACATCAGTACACACTTTTGAATCCTGTGTGCCTCACCATAATTTGGCTGTGTTTGGAGACACAATCCAACAGAATTAGAATTGTCAGCCTGTTTAGGATTTTACACTACAGAACAGAATAACTGAGATGTGTGAATGAGAACCAGTTACCCAGCAGGAACGCTGGAGTACTTATAGAATTTCATGTATTGCAATTCTGTAAAACTTAATTTTTTTTTTTTTTTTTTTTTTGCTTTTGAGACCTTATAACCATCAGACAGACCTTAATATCATATTTCTGCCTATTGATGCCAGGATGACGGTATGTGGTTTTAAATATTTGTATAATTTCTTATAACTTGTGCACTGTAGCATAAATAAACACTCTTCTTGATTAAGCCCATGGCCCAGTGTGTTCTTTTACTCTATAGAACAGGCTTCTTACTGTGCTTATTTAAAATCTATTTTCTAGAAGTGAGTAACTTACACAGCTGTTTTTATATGCATGTACCTAGCACCTAAGGATGTTGCAAAACTGGTGTCATCTGCTCAAATTAATAACTTAAATTGACCTTGAGGTTTATTTATTTGCGATTTCAGCAAAAGAATTTCATATTTTAACTGCAATAATTTATGGGGGCAGTGGGGCACTATATGTAACAGGATTGTCTTCCGTCCCATATCATTGTATCGTTTAGATATTACAGCCCAAAAGGGCTGTTGTAACACCGATGGTCTTTGGCTGAAAAGTTGCACGTAAAATGAGATCGTAAGTAAACTACACATTTTCCGTTAATCACGCTGTTAACGTAACTGCGAGTTGGAAACAGGAATCGTAGCGAGGCCCATTTGCAAGTGCGCAAGCTACGTACAAGAAACCCCACTTAAGTTACGCAGTTCGTGTTTCATTGGTGGACGATTTGAAGTCCCTGCATCCCGCACTTGTTGTCCCAAGCTGGATAAAAAGCCGTTTTGCGGAAAGAAATCGAGTAAGCTTTAACGAAACGCTTATTTCGCGAGTTTAATCGAAGCCGAAGAGCAGAGCCCGGGGGGTGGGGGTAGTTGTTTATGTGCTGCGGGGGGGATTTCGCGTCTGGGTCCAAATGCAGATGGCCTTGCCTCTGTTCGACAGCACCCCAGATCCTGCCTGGATCACACGCCGAGACCCAAACCGACGAGGACGAGTTTCCTTGGTCGTGCCGCGAAGGAATAAGTAATAATAAGACCGGGTCCTTAAGTTGACGTCTGGGCTCTGTACGATTGTAAATAGCACCAAAAAGTGGTAAACGATAATGTCCGAGTGTAGGGGTAGCTAGTGTCTGTGCAATAACAAAAACGTTATCGTTATAAAAACGTTATAGAAAAGTTATCGGGTGCAGAGTTAGCGAGTTCCTCACCGTCGTCGACAAGGAAACGGCAGGTCCGAGTATTTCTCTTTAAAGGAAGATTATGGAGAAACGTTGCATGGTTAAAATATCCGTATTTTGTCAGTGGATTTGTGATGAAGGGGGAATGAAGTGCTGAAATCAGTGCAAGGACTGAAATTTACGGGATATATTTATGACAGATGATTTTATTACAGCATTTTCATCAGCTGTTCAAATGAGACCTACAAATATTAGTATTCGGCATGTAAAAGGGACGGTATTTCCTGGCCATGCCTCTTAATTCTGATCGAGGCTGTGTCTCCCCCACCTCCCTTGCAGATCAAACATCACAACCCTCTGGTCATCCTGGCTTTTAATTGCTTCGATGGATACTACCTTCCACAGCAGGAATATGAGTTTGTTGATACGGTCCAGGAGGAGCTGGATGCCTTCATTCAGAGGGACGGAGAGAGGAGGTGAGCTCTGCCTGAAGGTGGCCGAGCGCTGCATGCTCATCGCCGTTTATCTGGCTGTGAATGAAATTCCTCTCATACATTTTCTCTTCTGGTGTCCTGACTTTAATGTTTGAAAATTATTTATGTGTTTTATGTAATGTGTTTCACTTGGGTTCAATTAGGGCTGATGGTAACGACTGTTTTTCTATGGATGGTATCGACTATTTTACCGATTGGTCATTAATCTAAACGATTAATTTTCTTCCAGAAAATAAATTGCACCTTTTACTTTAATTTAATTTTGAGAACAAGAAACTCTGTTATTGCAAGGCTTTAGATAAAGGACGTCGAAATTTGGCACTCTATGGTCGGTATTTTCGCCCACAATTCCATACAATTAGTAGTATGTCTAAAATATCAATGAGATGTGTATTGTGACGCCCAAAAGTTAGTACTCTGTATAAATTCGGCGTGTCCTATGATGATTAAACAGCGCCCCATGCTGCTGTTTTGATATGTTATGGAAGCGATAAGCACTGAAGTGGCGGTGAAGAAAGGGACAGCTTAGCTAGCACATCTGTCACAGTGGGAGATATTGTGGATAAAGAAAGTAAAAAGATGTTGGTGGTGAGACGCCACTTTTTGCCGATTAAAGTCTGACACCTTTTTTTTTGTAAACATAGTAACATATAGTTTTCATTTTTGTTTCAGTTCTCGAGTCATTTTCTTTTATTTAGTGTCCGTTTTTGTTTCAGTTTTAGTTTATGATAATAAGACTGGTCCCGACCATGGGCGTCCTTAGGTCCGATCACTCGGGGCTATACCCCTGAGTATTTTAAGCTTAGCCCCGATGCCCATCTCCCTTCGGAAAAAGTCAAGTCAATGACTAGAAACTCCCCTAGTGCCAACAAGCCCAATGTGCATGAATACACTCTGGCAACATCAATCCACGTAGAATAAGCTCAGATTTTAGCCTAAACACTTTCACAGCAAACAACAAATTTATTTTTGTATAGCGCGTTTTCACAACATGTCTCAAAGCGCTTTACAGCATCTCCACCCAAAGCCCCCAGTCAGTGAGCCATAGGCGACAGTGGCAAGGAAGAAGTCCCTAGAAGGAAGAAACCTTGGGAGGGACCAGACTCAAAGGGGGAGCCCATCCTCCTGGGGTGGGCAGGGAGAGTCAAATGGGAGAGATGGCTAAGTGGCAAGTCACACGGTCTAAGTCATAAAATATGAGTCACGACCGGGGAACAGGGAGATGATGACAAGCCGGTGTTGGCGCTCCTTCAGATCACCAGGGAACATACATGGAACATAGGACTTCATATTTAGAGATTTAGAGTTTTTTTAGAGTTTAATATATGGTCAGTAATAGTCCCCCCCCAGGTTTTACGAGTTGTTACAGATGGTTTGGTTTTTACAGTTAGCCTCTGGAATTAGCTGGGGGTGCTAATAATTGTCTTTCGGGGACTAAACTGCCCTGGGACGTGGCAGAATGAGCAGAAAAAGGGGACATAACAGTGCCAAGTTCTTCCCCAGCGTCCTGCTCTTCCCGCCGCTGCCGAGCCGGCAGCGCTACCTGATCCACAGGACCGTGGAGACCTGCCCGTCCCTGGCCACCTTCTCTGTGGGTGAAGGCTGGAGCCGCAGGGTGGTGGTGTGTCCCGCCCACCTCAGGTACAGCCTCCCTGGGCACACCTTTACCTTTCTGGGTGTTAAGTGTTACTAAATAAGGTAGAAGCAATTTGTACTATCAAGTTTCGTGTTCTTACCATCTCAGTTGTTTGCAACCTTTTTTACTTCAGCAAGGTATTATGGTTGAATGGCAGCAGCCCCCTCCCCACCCCGCAGTGTCTCTGCACGGCGCACACATAAAAATAATCTTTAAGTTTAACTGGTTTGCACCTGCCTCAATAAATCAGAGGGCCATTTTTCATTTATTTTATTTGTAATGCTCCATCACAGTTTAATTTGGAAAAACAGAGCAGTAGCTTTATAGGCTATGGTACCATCTCCATATCTCTATGAGTAGTAGGCATAGCCGTGAGTCTCAAATCGCATGCTTCAGTACTTAAACTTGCTCTTTGAGTGCATAAGTGCATTCACACACTCAGAATATGTTTAAGTACTGAAATACATGGTTGGAGAGTCACAGCAAGCTATACGGAGGAAAAGTACAGAAAGAAGGAATGAGTGGGGGGGACGGGGACGGCTGTGAATTAGCACAAATGTGCAAAAAAAGAGAAATACTAGTGAATTAATAGTAATTGAGTATTTAATGAATTTATGAATAGTCATTTAAAAAGTGTAAAAGAAACTATTACAAATGCTGTGCCTTAGGTTATTGTTGCTAACCCTAATTACATAACGGAATCAGCCCAAGACCCCCCATGAGAGATGAAGCCAGGTGCTCTGCTTGGGCTCTCACACGGTTTCCTCTCTCTAAGGTTGCCCTCAGAGGAGGAGGGGGACCCAGAAGAAGGCCAGCATGAGGACGTCCAGGGGCGAAGCCAGGAGACAGAGGCCCGGAAAGAGCGCCCCCACCTGGAACCCCGGCAGACTCGGAGCAGGGCACCCCGACGCCCTGACAAGGCCATCTATGTCCCACGAGCCATGAGGGACAAGGCCGCCCCGGCCTCCGACCCCACCCAGGCCCAGCTCGCGCCGGACAGCTCGGGCTGCAGCCTGAAGCAGAGCACATCGGGGACCAGTCCTGAAATCGGCACAGACCTCGAGGCTCAGTCATTCCTGCCTGCCAGCCAGGAAACGGCCTCCAAAGCCACCAACGAGTCCGCCAGCGAGCCAGAGGTCTCCGAGCTCCCCTCCGACTCCAGCGGCCAGGCCTCGCCGGCGGCCTGGGATCAGACCTTGTCCAACTTCATGGCTATGTCTCTGAAGCACCAGGAACTGGATGAGACTGTGTCACCAGCAGTGGAGCTACCAGCAGGGGGCGCAGCAGACTTGGAGGATTTTACTCAAGAGGTATATTCTGTGTGCCATGTGTTGGTGCCTCATTGTGGGTTATTCCCTGCTTTGCATCTGTAGGTTATGGACCCCCGCGACCCTGCATAGGACAAGTGGGTATAGAAAATGAACGAAAAGTATGTCTTGTTGCTTCTTTGATTCAGGGGTTTAGAAGGTGAAATAACTCCCTACATTGTCCTGTTATACTTGAATATGTTAAATATTTGGAGTTTTCATTTCCTCCTTTCATTTATTGTGGTTTCATCTAGGTACTCCGGTTTCATGCTACAATGCTAAAGCATGCTGTTAGGGGAACGGACACCTTTAACCTGCGTCCTGTACATACACTGAGCTTAGTGAAGGATGATGTAGGATAGATAGGAACATGGGAGCATCTTCTGAGGGGTCGCCACTCAACCGCCCTCCCCCTGACATCTTTTACCAACAACTTGGGGCTGGGGGATGATTGTGGATTTGGGGTCCCGGTTCACTTTCACATTGTCCTGGATCTACAGTTAGGGAAGATGGACGGATGGTTTAATGTTTGTGTTTCAACGGATAGATCATTGCGAACCTGAGGGAAGCAGACGTCCTGATCGAGAGCGCCCACAATGACTACTCCTGCTACCAGAACATGTTGTTCAGCTCGGACGAATTCGCCCACGTCATCGAAATCTACGACTTTCCCAAACTCTTCAAGACGGAGGACCTGCAGGACGCCTTCGCAGACTTCAGGTATCAGATGGAGCTGGTTTATTTTAAGGGCCATCTGGTGTGTCTTGGCTCTGGTGGTGGGTGACAGTGATAGGCTGTTTGAGTCTTTGCTCATCTTACCTCTGTCCTACGTGCTGTATGCATGAAGAGAGGGAGCCAGACTCATCTGCCTGAGCAAGCTGAGAAGTTTATTGTTTTAAGTTAGTGGTTTATTTAAAACTGGTGCAAACACAGAGGGCCAGACAGAAGCAGGCAATCAACATGACACTTGGGGTCCGGCTTACAGCGTTACATAACCATGTGGAGATGCTGTACTGTGTTGTGATTGCAAAGGATGTGATTGAATCAATGGGCCCAGACAATGAATACATTAATGGGATGAGAACAAAAGAAATTGACGGTTGTTGAAAGTTTGATATGAGGTGGCTTAGTGGGTAGCATTTGTAAGGTGTTTAGGGTTGTGGGTTTGAATCCCACCCACGGGGAGTGTATGGAGTTCTCCCTAAGCTGTCTGGGTTTCCTTTTGGCGTCTGTTACGTCCGCTTCGCCCTTTGTGTATGTGCATTTGTGTGAGTGTATGCCCTGCGATTGACTGGCACACCATGCAGAATGTTCCCCTGTCTTATACCCTATGCTGCCTGAAATAACCACCAGCCCCCAATCCCCCAATCCCCCCACCCCACCACGATCCTGTTATGGATCAGCGGTTACAAGATGGTTGAGAGTTTGATATAATGTAATTATTCTTACTCCATAATCTGATACTTTTTCAGCTAAAGTACTTACTGGTATTCTCTGCCATCTCATTTTTAATTCTGGTAAATCCTTTGTGTTCCCCCGCTTAAATAAATGTGAATGTGTGCTTCTCCCAGCGAGGCAGGCTTGAGGATCACCTGGGTGGATGACACCTGTGCCCTGGGCGTGTTTTCCAGCGAGTCTTCAGGTACGACCTTTCATGTCTTTAACTTTCTGACTCTGACTTCTTTGCTGGTACTCAGTGCTACTCCATTGTTAGTCATGAGACTAAAGCCGAAGTATTAAAAGAGCTCAGATCTCTTGTTGAAGCTCTGAATTTACCCCTTTGGACGGACCAGTGGGTCTCAGCCAGACGGCAGCTTTTGTTGCATCCAAAGTTGGGTATCTTTCAAAAATTTTCGATACCATTATTGATACTTTAACTTCAATACCAGGAATGATACTTTTTCAATACCAGTTTCATGAAATTAATTTTAGCAAAAACAAAATGACATTACACATCACAGTACAAATCTGTTTTATTTTTCAGTTCCTTGGCATTTTTACACTCTTAAAACACAGAGTAACAAGCAATATTTAACTTAAAGGCGTAGTTCAAATCTGAAACAAGATATGTTTTAGAGGGGATTTAGTGCTCTATCCATCTAGGTCTGCTGGCAGTTACCTAGTTTTGGAGATGTCGGGTGTAGAAATGTCGGGCTTCTCTCAAATATAATAGAACTGAATGGCATTCCTTCTGTGATCAAAGTGCTAGAAAACATGACCCGGTTGCTCAAGATAATCCACAGACTTAGCAGTGCACAGTGAACTGTCATATCTACTGAATTCCACACCCGATTTGTGTCACTGCACAGAAATGCAGTATTAGAACGAGCCCCAGGGTATCTCCTGTGCAGTGATACAGTTGGTGTCCAGTGTGTCAGTATTTCCTCCCTCATACTGGTTCAGGGCTGCACCCTTACAGGTAGAGCTGATGCTAGCAGGGTAAAAACATCAAAAAGCACACAATTCTAATGAATGAATGTATCATGGATTCCAGGTCCTTCAGCATCCATTAGTTGGATGACAGAGTCACAAATGCAAAGAGCGGATTATGTAATTATAAGTTACATGTTTTATTCCAAAACAGTTGAGAATTTTCTATAGAAAAAAATACTTTTTATGCTTATATGTTATCCTACTTGAAAAGCCCAGTATGAGTTTATTTTTTCCTGTCAGCATTTCACCCACCACCTTATAGTACCTGCATATGCACTTAAAGTACAAAATTGCATAAATCATGGGAGAGCAGCACCATAAATATGGTGATAAGGTATAGCCTTTCAAACCAAAGGTCTTTGCTTGTAGGTTTGAAAAAACAAACATTGAATTATTAATCTTTATTGTAATGTAGATTAACATCATCTGGCCTGGGTGCTTGGGATAAATGCTAAAGAAGTTATTTTAAAAATAATAAGGTTCATCTCACTGAGATGCTCTGCTTTTAAGAAGCAGAACCACTGCTTACAGTTCAGAATGTGGTTTGGTTTCACCTGAGAGGCTGAGTAGCCCAGGAGCCCATTACGGGGTAACTGGTTCAAACAACCTACCTGAATGTTTATGACTGATATTTGCATATATTAGGCTATAAGTTAATCACGATTTTCCAAATTATTCTCTTATTAATCAGCATGAAAGCAGGCCGGCTGTTCATGACATAACATGCATTATACTGAGCAAATGTGATGGAAGATTTTTGGCCAAAATGCACGTTTCATATCCGCGTGTTCTGGGCTGTGTGTGTGTGTGTGTGTGTGTGCGTGCGTGCGTGTGCGCTCACACCTATCACCTGTCACCCACACTGAGAGAGCGTCCTAACACGCACACACGTGAACCTCGTCTCTGGATGTTTTTCTTGCGTCCCTCTATGACGTATTCGTGTATGTTACCAACAATCAACATTATTAGATGGTACAAGCATACTGCAAGTTTATTGGCTCACTGATGCTGATGAGATTTCTTCCTTTGGTATCCTTTGGAATTTGGTACTGGACAACAAGGGCATTTTTCGATACTTGATAGTATCTAATCAATTTGGTCGATGCCGTAAAAGTATCGAAGTTTGGTACCCTGCAAAGTTGCATCCCAACATTCAATGGACTAACTCGCAATTATCGCCAGAAAATCATTGAAGTTGACTGCGGGGTGTTTATCTCCTCAAAGGTTTTTAATTCCTCAGTGAAGCGCTGGGATGCGCTGGGCACTGCTGAAGGCAGGAGGTTGGTTATGCAGAAGGAACCTCCTTGACTGGCCTCACATTTCGCTATGTCGCTGTCTGCCCCCAGCTCAGCAGGCTCTGTCTATACAGCACCCATTGCTGAAGGCACGGAGGCTGTCTGAAGGCAGCAGGAAAGCCAAGGGGAAGGCCTTCAGGCGTGCAGGTAGGACTACGGGGGAGTCTCCAGTGCCATGACACTCACAACCTACTGCGTTCCTTTAAGTTTAACAGCATTTTTGCTGATATTGTCATTGGCTGTAGAAGGCATGCTTTTAGCATTCCCAAGACATGCCTAGTGTTGGGCATTGCAGGTCCAGAAACTACAAATCCAGGCCAAGTTTTTGTTTCTACCAACCAGTTGAGTGCTCTGTGACTGTGACTCATCATGCTCAACAGGTTGGTAGAAACAAAATATTGGTTTGGATTTGTAGTTTCTGGACTGGAATTGCCCAACACTGGAAATGACTGCAGCACATACTGAATGAATAAAATGGTATTCCTGCAGGTATAACTTCCTGATTAGCTCTGTGGTATATTTTAAGTCTAAGCATCTGCCCAGTGAGTGTCTCTGTGCCACGGTAACACAGTAGCCGCAGTAGCTGATGGTAGATGACTCGTGGTCTTTCCCCAGAGTTCATCCAGCCAGTGAAGGAGAGACCTCGCACTGATACCGCAGTGGCCCGCAGACTGGTGACCAGGGCTCTGGGCCTGCAGAGGGGTGGCGTCCGGGGGAAACGGTGTTGACGTCGTGCCCATTACAGGTACCACCTTTTATTGTTAAATGCCGTCAGTGACATAACATCAAGGTCAATGACATAACATCACAATAGAATGAACCCTGCTTGGGAGGTCTTATGCATAGAAGAAAGGTCAGGCAGCTGATCTGGTACAGTTTTATTGGCAAACAAAGGGTGAAAAGCACATATTTGACCCTTTCAAGTTGAAGCAAACGTACATAAGTCACTCAGCTAGCATTGGGTACCCTCATTAAAACAGAAGGTCCCTATTTGATAGCACCGATACAAAGAAATAAAAACTCCTTAAACTTCACATAGGCTGAGGCTACTGTTACACAAAATTCTTGAAATCCCTGATTCTTTAAAGTTATTTAAAATAATGGCTATAAAAGATTTACAAATTGCATCACGATAGATTAAAAACAAAAATCAATTGCACATTATCACAGAGACAAATCTATAAATTTCACGATAAAACTTTGGAAATTATTTATTTATTATTTTTGGCTTTCAACATCTCTTACCATACCTGTCACAAGACATTTTTTAAATCAGTGTTGGCCGTAGTGCCATGCCATATTCCACGTGTATCTGTAACCATCTGGATGGAAAATAAACCAGTTCTGTGAAGGTACTTTGGCGGATTAGCTATTTCTGGCACCCAGGTCTTCCTCAAAGAACTGTCCCCTTTCCCTGTGACGTGACTGTCACCCACCAGGCTTTGCCCACCATGCCCTCTGGCGAGTCCACCAGAAGTGTCTCTCTACAATTGGTTCAGATACAGACTGAAACGGCACAGAGCAGCCATAGCTGAGTTAAGCGGCGTCACAGTCAGCGTGACATCACCACCTAGCATGAGGGTTATGTGCTTTGGAAGAGAACATCTCAAGTAACTATGGTAACATTAGTATCCACATTACCAAACGCTCGTCCGTTTTTATCGTTAAGGCAGTTCAGTACGATGCCTCATTTCTGCCCAAATGGTGACGGCAGTGTTGTAATCAGAGGAAGTGTTTGTTCTCCCAAAGAAAACGAAGACAGCTGTGGTGGTTTACATAGTATTACCACACTGAGACTAACTTGGCTGCAGGGAACCACAGGGAAAGACTGTGCACAGGAAGAAATCACTTCACAGAGAAAAGTCCAGACAGTTCCGGTCTGCAAATGCTACTGTAATCGGGGGCTGGTTCACTCCCTCTGGGGCCCCAGACTCACATGACTTAAGCAATTTTTTTTGGAGAACGAAATAGAATCAAGTGAAAATTAAGAACATTGCAACGTCGATAATCCATACTAAGTGCAGGGTGCCGGTCCTAGAACTTACCAAGGACTGGGGGAGAGACCCTTTCCATTCAGGGGCCAGGAACTTTTTTGGGAAATTTTTTAGGAACTACAAACTTCTGTCATGGTCCCACCACTGGAACTCAGCCCAATTGTAGTTCATGAACCTGTTTTTAGTTCCCAACCTGGCACTTTTCATTCGATCAGAAACTACTGGGGGATGACTTATAGCAATAAACATTCCCATTGGTTGACCACAAGTAGCAGTGCTAACTAGGAGAGCCTATACATTAATCCACCATAACCATAGAATATTTACCAGTTTTCAGTAGACTTGGAAATTATTTTTAAATGTTTTATTTATATTATTTAAACTAAAACTGGGCAATGGGGAGAACTTGCTGCCTGCCATCTGCAGCTGAACGTCTGACATAAGCAGTATTTATGGCCTTTTCCCCCATGGCCTTTGTAGTCAGTATCAGTGCCAGGCAATTTTATAACTATCAGTAACGTTTCAAATCCATTTTAGCCAATTTGTAGGGTCCAGGACTCCCCACGTACGAAGTGGTTCGTGCAAAATGTTTACGATTCTTTTAAAATCCCTTCAAGGAAAATTACATGTAGAATTCCCGTATGTTCTCTCTATGCAAAACCGTGACCCAGCAAAGGGATTCATCTGGCCAGTTTGTCCTCCAGTCCCGCCAATCCCATATCTGAACCGTTACATTGCTTTGAGGATTTATGCTGCTGGTAACGCATTACTTTCTTCAGGGTTATTTAGGGACCCCCCCAAAGTAGGTTGAGCCTCTTTTGAACCCGCAAACTGAACAGGAGAGGAATCATATGTTGTCAGCCATTGGTGCTAATATAATGGGTACCTTGATGACACACAGCGCAGGCACTTCTGGTGAATTGAGGGGTGTGGGGCTTTAGTGGTTGGGGGGAGGGCATGTCGGGTTGCTGGCTTAATGGTCCACCCAGATTTCTTCTTCTGTTGCCTTTTATCTGTAGGACAGGTGGTTGTTCAGGAGTCCTGGGAAGGTGTCCTCAACGTCAGAGCTTAATGAGCCCCCTTTAAAAGAAACAGGGTTAGCATGTGGAAAAGCAGCTGCATAACGTTTGTTTCAACATTTTTTATGAGCATCTTAGTCTAATGTGAAGGTTCCTGACCATGTTCTGGAATGATCTCTCCTGACAGGACCAGTGTCCCTGGATGGCAAATGGACTGATATCCACTATACAGAACAGCACATGGGATTGGGAAATGTCTCTTAGCACATACTGTTCCAGCCAGTAACTGTTCCCTTGTTGCTGGCAGTTATGTGGTCGAGCAGATGTTTGTGCGTGACATCAGAAATGAGTCAGTGCTGGAGAAGACTTGCATGTTTAGCTTGGATGGTCCTACAGCCCATGCACAGGCTAGCGGTGTTTATGTTTAGCAGAGAGTTAGCTGTTGGACTGGCCAGTCTACATTATGGAAAAGCTGAGGTTTATGCCATCAGATAAATCATTGGCCTGTTGCCCGTATGCAATGATGAGCTTAACTGTACATCCGTTTATTGGGCCACAATCGTCATTTTGAAATGAATGATATCTGTCACTCCCTGTTATGATGGCGAACTTCTTCAGAGAAAACCATCTTTAGAGGAATTCTGGTGGGCTGTGAAAGGAACTGGAATCTGCTTTCAGTGGTTTAACTGAGACTGGTTTGAAAAATCACCATCTTCCAGTATCTTTATACAAAGCAAATCTGTTATTTATATGGAGTCACTGGAGATTGAAAGTGCACAGACATCGATTGGAAACTGAAGCTGGAACCCGGAACTAAGGGAAAGGACTTTGGTGTTTTTACGTCATTAAATAAGCCTGTTTTTTAGTTGTTTTACCATGTAGTTCATGTGGTGTTTGCTTTTAAAAATGTGTTTGTTTTTTTTTTTACATCAGTAACGCCTTAAATTCATTCAACCCCTTTGTAAAAGGTGTATTATTTGTAAAGACATAAATTAAAGCCTAGTTTGTTTATGAAGCCCTCTGCTTATATATTCAATATACAGTGTTTGTATCAATAAATTGTCACAGGAGTGTTTTTCCATCTCACCACTAGTTTTTGGGTTATTTTGAAGGAGGTCCTTTAATCGGTTTCTCAGTAGGCAGTTAATTGATCAATAAGAGGGAAAATGGTCGCTTTGGCCTGAGGGAATGGGCCTCACCTATATGACAGCTGTATGTCCATATCCGGTAACCGTCGTAGCGACATCGACACTTCATGATGTTGTTCGTGTAGTCAGACTCCGCCACCTCGTATGTGGGATTAATTACTACCTGTGGGGTAAAATTATTATTTTTAGTTCTCAGGACCCCTGCCCAGTTAAGCTACAGGCTGTGTTTTCATAAAGGAAATGCCATCCATTCATTTTCTGTCATTCAGGGTTGTGGGGGAACCGGAGTCTATCCCAGAGGCTATGGGTGCAAGACAGGGAACAACCCAGGATTGGCTACCAACCCATCGCAGGACACATTTACACACCTATGGGCAATTTGGCAACTCCAATTAGTCTCAGCATGATTTTGGATGGTTACCCCGAGAAAACCCCACGAGGACATGGGGAGAACATGCAAACTCCACACACGTGGAACCCTGGCAGAGACTTGCGTGAGGCAACGGCGCTAATCACTGCATCACCATGCCGCCCCCTAAAGGAAAGGAAATGACCAGTGCCATATTGGTCTGGATTTCGAAAAAGACCAGGAGGTAACCTGGAATATGTAATCCCCGGGCTTGACGTCCGTCACATCTATCCACTGGCAGTCGATGTCGTGCCGGTATGAATCCCAGCAGCCCACGGTGATGCCCTGAGCGCCAAAGTTGGCGCAGGCGTACCTCTTTTCAATGCCTGTTGGACACAACATGAAACGTACCAACTGTAAGGGTGCAGTGATGCAGAGTCCCCTTTCAGGTGGGAGGTGGGTGTTAGAAATGTGGTATTATTCTGCAGTTACTCACTGAGTGGTTTCCATTTACTTTCTGTAAAACCGCACAGTACTCTCACCCACATTATTAATAGGTACTCAGCTTCCCAAAGAAAAGTGCTTCCACAAAGCTTCCACTAGAGGGCACTCTAGGTTCATAGCCACCAGGAAGAATCATATGAAAGTTATAGTGTATTGGGTGGGTGGGACTCTTACCCTCGTCACAGTCTGTGTCCTCCAGACAGAAGCTGGCCTTGTGCCCCTCCGCCACCTTGGTGCCATTGAGGCTGAAGAGGTCGTAGTGTGTGAACACCTCCATGCTGTGGTAGTGCCTGTAGGGGGCGACACTCCTGCTTCAAGAATTGCACAGTCTTGACCGAAACACACCTGCACCATTAGTGCATCATTGATTGCATTAGACTAATACTGAGTGGACTCTTCTATACATCAAACCAAGAACACAGTTTCCTTTTTTATTATTGCCTTGTTTTGGGTGGCAGAAGCTGCCAGTTGATGATAATATCTGAAGGACAGCTTTGTGGTTGGTAAGGTATAAAACTGAATATACACACAGTGGATTGTGGCAATAAGTGCTGAACCTTTGGAAAACGTCACAAACAGACCATAATAAACGTACAAATAAAACCACTAAAACCCACTTTCCAGGGATGAGCCTAGAGTACTGACAGAGTCAGTACAGAGAGGTGGCGTGCCCCACTGCACCCCCAGCCCTGCCCCTCTCCTCCAGGCGTGACCGGGGGGGCGGCGCTGGCTCATCGCTCACCTGTGACACTCGTGCCAGATCCAGGAGTGCTGGGTGGCGCGGGGTCGGAAGTCCGCCTGTCCGTTGTTGTGAATCTGGGAGGAGAAGCGCAGGAGGCGCCGGTAGCCGCTGGCCGTTGTTGCACTGGCCGTGCTGGACAGGCAGTTCTCCTCCTGGGCGCACTGCAGCATGAACATCGGCCGGTCCTCCAGGTAGGTGGTCTGCTCCACCACCTGTGCATTCAGGACCAGGTCCGGGGCGGCTGGGGATGGGGGGGAGGTCAGAGGTCACGGGGGGACAGTGGTCCTGGTTACTTTCCAACAGCCATTCATAAATAAGACATAGACCTGACAGGGCCTGTATAGGGCATGAGCATAAGGGCCTTGTGTCCCGCCATCTATATCTACCATTCATTTCCTTCCCATATTAGAGAATGGGCAGCTGAGATTTTTAAAATTTACTATTTACTGCATGTTTCAGCTGGACGGCGAAAAGCTGGGCGATCGTGTGTCACCACGGAATTATGAAGATAAAGATGTGCCCAAAACTGCAGAATAACCAACCAGATCCTGAGATCGATGTCCACCAGGGTTGGGTACCATGATGTTTGAACTCATCATGTAGGAGTCCATCTGCTCTGGTTTGATATTAAATCACGCCAAATGCTTCATCAGGTGTGGCTGCATAAGCTTAAGAGCGGAGACCTTTTGCTCACTGTTTGGCCCCCCCCCCCCCCCCCACTTCAAAAATCTCTCCTGCACCCCTGAGTCACAGTACAGGTATGTTAGTGCAACGTGAGGTGAGATTTAGCTCGATGCCAGAGGGAAGTGAATCCTTACATTCTGAACAGGAGACTCCGGCGGCAAAGCGACCCCCTCCCCGGGGGCAGTGGATGTGCTTCCCATGGTGCAGACAGTGTGACAGTGACATCTCTGTGCCCGAGCAGCGCACCCCACTCATGACGACGTCATCTGCGCTTGTGTCTCCCGGCCAGTACCAGGTTTCCTGCGGGAAGTCAGGGGAAGGAGCACTGAGCACCTTTCTCCACTACAGACACCGACTAATATTCCACTATTCTGCCACAAGAGGGCGCTTCACATTAAGGCTTAACTGTAACATCAGCACGTGGAGGACCCAGCTGGTACATGTGTAGAGAGTTTGTCACATCACCGTTTAAACAGTGCATTATTGCATTATCCAAGCTGACCACTTTGTTTAACCATTCATCCATTTCACTGCTTATCCTGGACAGGATCCCATCCCAGCCAACACGACACATGGCTGGGTTACACCATGGATGGAATTCCAGCCCATCGGGCAATTCAGACAGCAGTAAGCCTAACAGAATGTCTTTGGGCAATGGGAAGAAAGCGTAGTACTTGTGGAATTCTGTGCCACACTAGAGAAAGCACAGACTCTACACACACAAAGGGAAGCAGAATTCAAACGCACAGTGCCACCCAATTTTAAATCACTTGATTGATCCCACCCCCCAGCTCTCTTCTTTTACTCCAACGTCATAGTGCATGGCCACCGACAGAGAGGTTTAGTCTTTTTTACGGCCAGTTAGTCCCTTGCTGCGTAAAGTGGTCGTCTCCCAGCTGGATGACAGCCCGGCACTTCGTGTGCCCCTGCATTACTCCCCCGTATCGCGAACACAGCGAGGGTCCGGGTCTCGCTCCGCGTAAAAGTTTCCAAGCGCCTTGCAGCCTGCTTAACCGTTCAGCCGCGCGCACGGCCGTGCCACTGAGGAACTCCGCTAATTACGTACCCCCACATCTGGAATTGTGTTTGTGGTTGCATCCTGGCCACGCTGCCCTGGAAACCAGCACTTTATCGCTTTTTTCTTATTTTGATGGGTAAATGTGATCATAGATCAGTGGGGAATTACACCTGAGTTACTGGAAGTTCTGAGCAATGGAAGGTCTGAGGAAGTCTCTCCATGCACAGACATCATCTGATAGGCCTTCAGAATACAGGGAAGAACCAGGAATCTGATCCTATTAGCTACGTTAGGCCCTAACTATATTTGACAGTCCCTAATGTGTTTCTTTGAGAAAAAAAAATGCCTTTGTTTAATCCACTTAACTGGCATCATGATAGCGGTGTTACTCAACCATCCTATTAAAGCTTTCAGTTTCGAACTGTCCAGCTAAAATCCCCCAACTTTTTCTGAAGACTGAGCTAGTGGGTATTAGCATTACCAAACTAAAATCAACAGATCTTTGTGTCTTGCATTTATAATAGAAAATTTTGCTGAAAAGACTTTTTATGAATGTAAGCTTTTCAATAAAATAACACAAATTTTAATCTATTTGTGTTAAAATTAGTCCATATGTATCTATTATTAACACACAATGAATAATGACTACAGGTGAAAAGTGAAGTGAATTATACTGCTTGAGACCAAAACACTGAACTTCTGCAACATTAAAAACCATAATTTTCTCTGGCTATAATAATCTTCCATACCAAAATTAATTGAGATTGCTTTCCTTTAGAATGTAGTTCCTAAGACCACAGACCAGACGTCATGATAAGGACAGTGACTGCTTGCTGAAATATTCTGTCATTTCCTTTTATGACACACATTCCAGGAGCCGTTCTCCACCACCCACCCACTCCGATGTGCTCTGATGAGATCAGGCAGTAATGGAAATCCCTGCATTCGCAGGACCTGAATCACGGCACGTAGCAGGCGGCCAGTGAAAGCAGCTCTCTGTGTGCTTCTCTGCAGACCTGCCGTGTCCTGAAACCTCGGCGACCTGAATCACGTGGCCTCCTCTCCAGAGACACCCAATTCTCATCCGAGCTACCAAGCAAAACTCCAGGATAAACTTACCAACTGAATCAAAGACGCCTATTATTTAGAAAATGCAGACAGTTTACAAGCTCTACATTTCTGTTGTTTTAGCTGTAAAGATACTCTGAGATGGGGTAATTACTCTGTAATGGGGTATCAGACTCTAGGATGCGATATAAAGTGTGGGACAGCATAATAGCTGAATGCACAGTAGAACTGTTATACCCCAAGGGCTGGTACTTCATATTCACCCAGTGTCTGTGTGGGGAGTTTGCTTGTACTCCCTGTGTTGTATGGGATTCCTCTCAAAGCCCTAAGGCATGCAGACATGTGATGTATTTGTGTCCCGTCCACAGTCCAGTTTTAGTATCTCTAAGCAAAAGTGTTAGAAGTTCCCTGTGGACAGTAACAGGGAAGGATGCCGTTGGACGTTACCTGGAAGGCGTGACTGGCGTATCCCAGGCCCAGCTGCCGGCAGACCACCATCGCCTCCAGTGTCCCCCAGCTGTCACTGCACACAGTGCCCCACGCCAGCGAGCCGTTCCGCTCCACCAGGACCTCCACCCGGCCCTCATAGGGGTTCCGGCCCCCGCCCAGCCGAACCTGGGGGGAGAAGCACATGACCGGGGCGTCACCCTCAGTGGAGGGTGGGGCTGGGGAAGCGTGTCTAGACCCGTCATCACAGAGATGCAGATTCAGGTCATACAAAGGGTCAGTGCTGTTGTACCCTTGAAGGACTTCAACCGTGAAGGAACACTGTGAGATTTACCCAGAAGAGGAAGCCAAGAGAAACTTATAACTATTAAGTTTTGGGGGCAGCGTGCATCTGCTAAAAAAGTCAAATGCAGAAATTCAGCTACCCCAGATATCACTATATGTGCTAAAATACGCAGTGTGTCTTCATGGTTCCTCACCCTATCCTTGAAGCCCATGGCTGGCACGTTGCACCTGACGGCAGCGTCTTCCTCGTGGCTGCAGCCCAGAGCGTCCTTGTTGAAGAAGCACTCGGTGATGGACTTCTCGAACCCTGAGCACTCCACCTCGTTCATGTGGACGGGACCCATTCCTGAAGGCAGAAAGACACAAGAGACCTGTGTCAGCCCAGAGCATGTTCAAGCAAAGTATGATTTTGGCTACACGAGTCACCGTGGGTCTGACCAAGAATCACCCCGCTTCCAAGATGACACTTTCAGCCATCAGTGTTGTATCAGTACTACATTGATAGACAATCCTGATACGTGCAAATAAAAGTTTGAATATTGCTATTTAATCTGCTTCATGGCTTGTCTGTTTGGATCAGACGGGACTCTTCAAGTCCTCTCTCTCCCTTGGCTTACAGACCAGACCATTCCAGACATCTCACATCCTTCCCCTTGTCGAATTCAAAGCCTCGTAAAAAAACAAAAAAAAAAACAGACTTTCCACCATACCCTCTCAGGGTTCCCGGGCCCTTGGGTTCTGTTTCCATCGTGTTATTATTATGTAATTTACTGCCCTCTTACTCCAAAGGATAAACTTTCACGTAGTCTCATAGCCTTCTTGTAGCAGCTTGAGCGACGGGACGGAAACAACAAAACCTTTTTTTTTTGTTTTCACCGTCTGGTGAAGGGGGAGGGAGCTCTCACAAAAGCAGTCGATCAAAAACAAGCGTTAAACTCTGTCTAACCACTTCAAAGCCGCGTTGCGCATGTTTTGCCAGGGTGTCGCTCGCATACCTGCTTCAGCCATGTGCGTTTCATCATCTAACACAGTCGCCTGTAAAACTTCCTTTGCCCTCGAAGAAAAACACTGGCCTGTAGGCTAATTACGAAAACCTCATTCCCGAGGGTGATAATTTGCTGGTGGGCGGAGCTATAAATTACACAGCTGAAACTAACTGTATTGCTTTCATTTTACAAGGGATATATATACTTTTCCCTCTTGTAAGTTAGTAAAAAAAATGCAACGAAATAACCTTCTTAGCAATGCCCTCAAGTTCTCCACATTACTATGGTAAATGTGGGACTCCCCGACTGTCCCAGCCCAACAAAAATGGCAATAAGTTGTAGAAACTGTAACGCAAACAAGCATTAACAATTAGAAGAAAGTGGCGACAAAACACAGACCAAAAGACAGTAATTGTGGAGCACTGTTAAAGGGCCAGCGTCCACAAAGGCGAGGCCATGGTTAACCATGCTGGAAACAGTAGAGACTGGCTGTTTGCAACATCGCAGTGCTGCAACTGCGTTTTCATCACTGGAAAAAAAGGACACAGTGTTCCCCTAGAATCAGTGCCACCTCTAGTTCTGCTTGCAACGTTATTTGCATATTATGAGTGTTTCATCTAATGGTCCTCGTGGAGAGATTTCAGCTGACATGGGAAAATTTCTAGCAGATTGTGCTTATTGCCAGTTTCTGGAATAAACAAAAATTACTGAGACCCCAAAATGGACCTTACAGACCTTCTTGGCAAGGAAAACCTCCCTAAATCCATTTGGTTTATTGATCCCGTCAGGTTTATGTGCTTGTTGTGGGTCAGGAGAGGAGGGTGGAGATCAGTGAAATTTTACGGCTTTGAATGTGTAACTGCTCTGTGGGGGGGGGGGGGTGACCTCACTGACAGCCTTATGACTTGACTTAGCTTGAGAAGAAGAAGTATTTAAAGCGGCAAGCTACTAACAGCCTACATTTGTCAAATTCATAAGTGATTAGGAGACTTACATAAAAAGGTCATGCACGTGGGCAAAAGGCTTCACTTTCTGCACGTCACGCACAGAACATCCTGCTGGTACCAGGAGTAATGGCTCCCGCCCACGCGGCCCATCCATCACACATCTGGATCCTCCTTCCCCCGGCATTTGGCCAGCAGATGCTGGCATAACATATAACAAATGTCCCTAATCTTGCACTATACTGTTCCTTCCTCTGTTCCTTCAGCAATAAGGCCAGCTGTCTGTAAGCCATTAGCCTTAGCCTGCTGCCTGATTGTCTGCAATGGGTTGAGAGGATAACAGCGTGCGGCTAATCGCTGATCGGCAAAAACCTCTCTTCGTAAGACATTTCCACTTAGCAGAAATGACACTTGACTAACGGGTTATAAACTGTAACAGTTAGCGTGTAGCAAGAAATTACAGCTAAAGAAACAAGGTAACCTTAAGCCCCTGGCATCAATAAATAAGTATTATCTGATCAGCGATATTGTGATAATTATCATAATAACGCACAATATCATTTTTTCTTGTCCGATACAAATATTACAATTATGAGTATGAACAGAAATCTTTCTTCAAGTTCAAAATGTGCAATCTGTTGCCAAATTAAATATAAAAATAAATCATAAAACATCACTGTCTACCCCTACTAACGATTTCTAGTCATTGAAGAGTACATGTAAGTCTCCAGCACATAAAACTTTTAAGTAGTAATTAACCAAACTTTAGAAAGAGTCTGTAGTCATCTATGTTTACTGTGTTCAGACTTCACAACCAGCCTGACATACTTTGCATTCTGGAGTTTAGCTTTTTTCTTCCTTCAGCGTAAAGTACAGTAATCCCTTCGTATTTGCGAGGGTCAGGGGCGAAGGACCCCGTGAACGTGAAAATTTGCAAATACTTGGACCCCCCTAAGCCTTACCCATAACAGTCTGCAGGCCTGAACGATGACATAAAAAGTCGATTTATTACCAATTTCTAAACAACCTGTACTGTACTGCACACTTTGTGTGTCATTGCATATAATATAAATTATGCCCTTGTATATACAAAGTTACTGCTGTACGCACTGGGAGCACGACGCTTTGGGCTCCTTATTAAAAACGCAAAATTAACGGCACTGAAAAGACTAAAGGTTAATGCGATAAATGCGAGATTCCACGGTCACAAAGAGGTGCTATGTACCCAAGCCAAGACTTTTAATACTAACCACTAATGTTCATATACGATTTAATGTTATCAAATCATTTTCAGTATTATTTTTGGCTTAGTCTGCGAGTTACTGCAACATTTCGACAAGCTCCAAAAATACTCCTGTTTAATTGTTCATGGCCAACTTCGAAAAACAGCCAACACCGCGAATGTGAAATACGCTAATGCGACGTGCATGTGCTGTTTGACCTATCACTAAGGGAGAATTGGATTGGTTTCTTCCTCCTACTGGGTACCGGATTGGTAATCTCTAATAATAATCCATCCAACTTGCATACCTGCTTGTCCTCTGCAGGGCTAGCCTATGGGGCTCCCTCCCACACCGGTGAATCACACATGAACATCTATGGGTAATTTGTTAACTCCAGTTAACCTCAGCATGTTGTTGACCTGGGGGGGGGGGGAAACCAATGAACCTGGAGGAAACCCCAAGGGGAGAATGTGTAACTTCACACACAAAGAACCAGGGTTTAACGTCAAACCCTGGGGCCTCATCCATGAAGCAGGATTTCTTGCTTAGCCGAATAACTTGGTAGGTTTAAGGTAATCTAGGCTAATCTAGGTGAATGACGATAAAGTCAATTTAGGTCTGACTACCTTAAATCTGGTCTCCAGCGGGGTGAGGTGCTATCCACCCTGTTAGCCACCCTGCTAGCCACCCTGTTAGCCACCCTGTTAGCCACCCTGCTAGCCACCCTGTTAGCCACCCTGCTAGCCACCCTGTTAGCCACCCTGCTAGCCACCCTGTTAGCCACCCTGCTAGCCACCCTGCTAGCCACCCTGTTAGCCACCCTGCTAGCCACCCTACTGCTGCTAATAATAATGACGAAAAATCAAATTTTGTTCAGGGCTGCAAATGAAAGTTATCATTAAAGCTGATGGGAAAAAATGTGATTTTTAGCGCAAAACTAACCATTTATTAAACTTCACGTTGAATCTTTTAATAATTTTGGGAACATTAAGAAAAAAAATCAACATTGAAGAGGGCAAAGCTGCACTCCAACAAGGTCCAATCCGCTGGCCTCCGTCTATATTTAAACCCTGGTTATCTGACACATCTTACACAACTTCCAGGAAATTCAGTTTACCTTTCTTAAATATTAGCACTAAAAGTGGTCTATTTGGAGAGCTTCAAATACATTCATCCTTTCCTTCAGGAAATAAATGATACATTTGTTTTATGTGTTTGACAGTGACCCAAGGGACCCCACAAAGGCCCGCGAGGACAGTAACGCTGGTGTGACAGACAGGCCACCGCAACGGAGTTGTTCGCATGTTGCTAGCAACAGATGGAAACGGAAACAGACATCTGGAAAGTATTTAAAAGCCCCCACTGAAAAGTCTGGCTGTGAGAAATCGGCTCACAGGCAAAGATGGAGCTCAGCAGGGATTGAGTAACCGCAGAGGTAGCATACAAACAGAGGTAATGCAGAGAGACCTTTGACAATACTGATCATTCTTAGGACTAGAGCTAAGGCTCTGTTTAGATTCTTCTAATTGATGTTCAGTGGAGATAAATAATTTCCCCTGTGGGATTAAATAAGTGTGATGCAAACAGTGGCAACATCACATGTCCAATAGTTTCAATTTGTACAGCGTAATGTTTTAATAAACATGACCCAGTAGCAGGAAGGGATGTGCGTGCTCTTTCAGTGCTACCTTCCCCTCCTCTCGTGAGGAATGAGTGCACGGGGAACAGGAGCGCAGTCCTGTGAAGGTGACAGAGACAGGCTCACCCTGTCCCAGACGCGCCCCGGTCAGGGCCTCGCGGGCGCTGCCGAAGCCCAGCTCCCTGCACACCACGGTGGCCGAGCGGAGGCTCCAGTTGTCGTCACAGATGGTCCCCCACTCGCCGTTCTTCAGCACCTCCACGCGGCCCTCACCCACACTGGCACCTCCCTTCAGCCGCACCAGGGGTTGCTGTGGAGGGGGAACCATTTCAGGAATTAGGATCTTGGAGATGGGGGGGGGGGCGGCATGAACAAGTAGGTCTGCTGGTCCTTCTCTGCCCCGAGTGGGACCAGCTACACTTGATTGGTCACATCCTGCCCCAGGTTCTCCAAAGCCAAGTCGTACATCAAGAGCGACACCACGTACCCATTGGCCGACCAGGAAGAGGCCCGACATGCCAGTAACCAATAAGGAGGCAGCTGGCTTAAAAAAAGCTGACGTCTCTGGTGTGTAGCCACATCAATATTAAGCATGCTAAGAAAAATGAAATAAACACCAGCATTTCTATGGAATACTCTGTTGGCTGCGGTCATCGAGGTCAAGACCTTTTGGCCTGTTGTCATGCAGCCCGTTTGCCCTCTGAATTCTCATGAAGTCGCTTCACATTCCCAGCAATGGCTGCTTCCCCCGTTTCTATCCACACAATCGTCTCGACACAAGATGCGGTGGTTCTGCCAACTGTCAGCGTTTTGTTAACCATCCTGACAAATGTTTAGCACTGAAATGTATTATCTTCTCAAAATGGAAACATGCGTCTTATTTGTAGCGAGCAGCCAGTCCACTATAATCAGATAATGAAATGAATTTTGCTGTTTCTAGGACAGCTATTGAAGTTGGGTTCTGTAGAGATGGAAGAGGAAGCTGAAAATGTGCCATCTTCATAAATCTCCAGGATTGCAGTGATTAAGAAATGCGGTCTGGGTGTATTCTTGTATTGCAGTTACAAAATAACTCCCCCACTGGAAGCATTTTCCAATTGTTATGACTGACAGCTGCTGAAAATCATGGAAGGACAACAGTTCACGAGAGTGCAGATCGGAGTCAGTATTCCCAAGGCTGTGTGGGTTTGGATCGTGTGTCTAACTGAGTGCTTCCTGATAGTGTCTGACGTAACAGATCATGACCAAGAGCAGGAAAGGTGCCTGGAAAGTGGGCTGACATGGGACACCGCCCCCCCCCCCCGCGCTGTGTCAAAGTGACGAGACCCCAGGTCAGGGGCAGGTGCCTGTAATCACGTTTATCTGGCCCCCGTCAGATAAGGCTTCTCTACGGTGACTTTAACGTATCTCAGAAAAGCCACCAGCTTTAGGGGAACAAGGACAAACAGCCTCCATGTTATGATCAAACAAAGCAGCCACTTCTGAATAATCTTGAAATGAGTGACGCTTATACAGCACAGCCAGGAACATGTTTCCATACCAGTTTTGGCTCCAGCTCTTGTACGTTTCTGACTTTTGATGTGCTGACTTGTAAAATGATTCATTCAAAGGAGCAGAAGGATGATAAACTTCACTATAACGATACTCAGCCAGTGAGCTTCACCCATGTGAGCATCAGCCTGCAGTTTTTGCTCATGTGTGATCATCTTAATCCCCTTTCCAGGTCAGAGACAACACAGGACAGGGTCCCACAAAAATTTCCAATCCCGGAGTGGGCTGGGGGGGGGGGATGCAGATGATAAAATTTTGCAACCTGGAGCCGAGGGGGTCGTGGATCAAACATGTGGCCGGGATTGCATCGTATTTGTGTCCAGATGCAGAGTCTGCCAAAGGAGTTCCCTGCCATAGCCGTCACTGAGGCACACAGGGAGGCCTGCCGTGCCTCTTCCCGCTTCCTGTCTGTCATGGGCTGTGACATGTTTACGGGCAATGTGTGCTCCTCAATTTGCACCTGTTTCTGAGCTGGGATGGGGAAATGACTCCATTAGTATATTTAAAGTAAGAGCCTTCAAACACGTGTGAGAGTGTGTGTGGGTGCGTGTGCTTTTTTGTAATTGATACCTTGTGGGGATCAGATTTCTCCACAATGTGATTAAAAACTTTTTACCTTTGGACATTTTTCAGTCCCCACAAGGAGAAACTCAACTTTATAAAAATCTGTGAATGCAATCAAAAAACTAAAAATGCTAAAAGTCTTGTTTTTCATTTGGGTACGGTGGGGTTGGGTGGGGGTTGTGTGTGTGTGTGTGTGTGTGTGTGTGCCTCTGCATGAGAGGGAGTTCCCCGAGACTCACCTCCAGCCGGTAGGCCTTCCTGAAGCCCGTCACTGGGCTGGGGGCAAAGGCCCTCCCGGGCACACAGCTCACCACCGCCGGCATGCCCAGGCTGCAGGTGGCATTGCCCTTCCGCGTGGGCGGCGGTCCCAGCTTGCAGCCTGACACGTGAGCCTCGTTCCCTGTGCAGTTCATCGAATGGCCCCAGTATTTGTTCTTCCTCCTGAGAGCCACCATCCTGGGAACATGGAGTAGGGGGGGGGGGTTACTCGTATAGGACTTAATTTGCCTTCTAGTTCTTCCAGTCCAGTTCATGCTCGAATGAGACGTATCCAGCTAAATCTGTGAGTAATGTACAATCGAAGTCATTAGGGGTCCTCTGCAGTCTTTGCACATCACACATCGCTGCCTTTATACACTATGTACAGGCAGGCCTGCTGTGTGTCGTGTTCCTGTCCCGGCACAAGACGACCTCTAGTGATGATCTCTTTACCATGGAGAGACAGACCAAACCATTTTTTGTATTATAGGGAGGGAAAGTAAAATAGTTTTCAACCACTATGTAAAGGAAAATTAGTAAAATAAAAAATAATAAGCTATTATGTGATTCACAAATACTACATAAAGTTTTCACAAAGGTGAATCTTTCACAAAGTTTTCCAGCAGATTATTATTTGACCCCACCGACCCAGGGACAGCTAACCCCCCCCCCCCCCCGTCAATGGCCCTGTGTTCTATATGATACATAGTAATATACGACACATAATATTCATTACATTTTATTAGTCTGAGGAGTAACCAGATTTGCATTCATTAAGAGCTGTATCTGTATAACTATGCTTGTAACAAATAAATCTTGAATCTTCACACTGCTACGTCATCTTTATTACGCCAGTGACAAATATGTTCTTTGCATGACAGAGTCCAGCAAACACCTGCTCATATCAACTGCAGCCTCAAAGCACGTCTTTCAATACGCCTGACTGCTGCAAACACCTGCTCTTATCAACTGCAGCCTCAAAGCACGTCTTTCAATACGCCTGACTGCTGCAAACACCTGCTCTTATCAACTGCAGCCTCAAAGCACGTCTTTCAATACGCCTGACTGCTGCAAACACCTGCTCCTATCAACTGCAGCCTCAAAGCACGTCTTTCAATACGCCTGACTGCTGCAGGGATAAAACAACAAAACACAGACAAGCAGCAAAACATCTGAACTGGCCAAAATCAGGAGGGCGGCATGTTGTGCCGGGCGCACGACTCGTAAACGAGACGGCGCGGCTTCCCCGTGCGGCCCAGAGCCAGGGAGTGTCGCTCTTGCGGCTGGCCTTGTCATCGCGGCCAAGCGACTGCATCGCGGCAGAAGCCAGCTGGCCAGGCGTGCCAGGGACACGAGGTCAGCGGGTGGCACACGTGGGGGATTCCCGTGTGAACCCAGGGCCCCTACAACACAAGCGTGAAGGAGATCTCCGCTTCCGAGTGTCAAACCTGATGGAAGATCCCCCCGGAGGAAACCTCACCCACGCTTGGCAGGGGGATTGGCTGCTCTTGGCAGGTATGATGAATGACATGGAGAACGACGGCGGAAAACAGCCACCGCTGCTGCCCCCCCCGACCACAGATGCGTTGCTGGGAAACTACTCGTATTTCACGGGACCGTCATTTCCAGGGAGTCTGCAGAAGGCCGGGAAACCAGCTCAGCTCAGTGATCTACAGAGCAGACGAACACGAGGAGACACTGGTTCTCCCTTCTGGGAACGTGAGGCCCCAGCATGCGGCTGGAAGCAACCCCCCCCCACCCACATCATGAGGATCCTGCTCCAAGCCACGTGGCTCCATCCTGAGGGGTGGAACCTCTCCTGCCCACAAGCCTCAACGAGGCTCTTCTTTGGTTCTAAAGATCGACCTATGGGCTGGTCCCTCAATGTATTAATCAAGACGGCCATGCAAACACACACACACACACACCTACAAAAACTCACCTGCCCACAATCTGACCTCCACTTACCCGTACACAAGTTTGGCAAGCGAGACAAGTTACACTTTGTTGCTGGAACAAGGACCATTTTGAGATCAGAAGGGGCGACCTGACCAGCCCCCGATGCCCAAATCTGTATCCCCTTTCAGCCCGTCTGTGTTTGACTTTCCATGTTACTCTCCCCTTTCCAGCCTTCGTGCCTCTCCGCCCTTCTTTAACCCCTATGATATGTGAAACTTAAAGTAAACTATGTGTGAAAGCCTCCCTTCCCTGGTCTGCTCTGCCCGCATTACGAAGGGCTTCTGGAATGTGCCGGGCAGGCTGATGAATAGCAGGAGGCGAGGAAAGCCCGTGCTGAGTCAGCGGAGGTCCTGCTCCGTGTCGGGGCGTTAGAACCGACGGCCGGTTAAACGGGACTGTGACATCAGCTCAGGAGACCCAAACCACCATGGAAAGAGCACAGTATAACTGTACATGGTGGGGGGTAGACAAGAAGCCATCATTAAAAATTGTTTAGCTGGATCTTCCACTGGACCACTGCAGACCACAAGCTGGGCTCCTGCTTCCTCCTACCCCCAAATCTGGGCACCCCCCCCCAAGTGTCACACACTCACTTGTACACCTTGACATTGTACTTCTTCTCCCCGGGGAAGCCAAACATGCCGCAGATGACCCGGCTGTTCATGGGGGTCCAGGCCTTGCTGCACACCTGCCTCCAGCGCCCCCCCTCCTTCACCTCCAGAAAGCCCTCCGTCACGGGGATCCGTCTGCGCTGCCATGACAGTATCGCCCGGACGCGCACGTCCTCCAGCTGAATGTTCAGGTCCTAAGGGAGCAAAACCCAGCGAATGTTAATTAAACACGGCGCCGCAAACCCAGGAAAGCTGGTCTGTGACTGCTGGGCTGCTGGGATTGCTGAGATTGCTGTAGAGGCTGCTGGGATTGCTGTACTGATCGGGAGTGGTGTAGTCGCTGTGTGCACTTGTGTTGTGTTGTGTGCCTGTTGAAGCGGTTGATTTGATTTGAATTATCTGTAAAGGTATATTTGAGCGTTTGTGTGCCAGCACGGTTACGTGGGTGGTTGTTGTTGTTTTCATTTTTTACTCTTATTTTTACGTGTGTACTTGTCTGTCCTTGTGAGTGTTACCGACAGCTGCGGGCGCGAGCGGCGTTTCTGTTTGCGTCCTTCGCATCAAACACCCGCGGGTAATATTATCGAACATCGGTAACATTAACTCTAAAAGGTCAGTTGCTCCGGAGCTTTG